TGTTGCAACCCACCCTCGGGGCTTAGAATGAAGGACAGTTAAGAACTCTTAATATGATGGTCTTGAGGAGAAATTCACTGTACCATCTGGCTTTAGTTTAAAAAAAAAAAAAGCACTGAATGATAAGTGAAAAGTATTTTTATTGCAGTTAAATTTATATCGACTTTTTGTTCTCTGTCCACCAGAATCTCAAGCTGGTATCTGATGGCTGCAGCAACTTACGGAAACAAATTGAAATTGCCCAGCAGTTTGGTGTTCCAGTTGTAGTGGCTCTCAATGTTTTCAGGTAAGACTTGTTTTTTAGAAATCCATGCTGGGTCTTCTGGGTCTTTAGAAATCCATTACTTGGGTCTTCTTTCTTTACCCTTTTTAAAAATGGGGATAATATTTGCCCACCTCCAAACTGTAGGGACCTCACTTGTTCTCCAATAATTCTCAAAGATTATAGACAGAGGTTCTAAAATTATATCCACAATCAGATTTGGAAATGGGGGGATGGATTGACACCCCTCTATATGGTTATTTGGACTTTCCGAGTCTAGTGATGGGCCATCAGAGGAATGGAGTAGTCGAAGTCTCCAAGTTTTGTGGAAATTGGAAGTGGTATTATCTGCTGTCTGGCTTGGGTAATGGGTTTGGGATGGACTTGTTGCAAAGAGTCAAAAGCATCTTCTTGCTGGAGTATCCACGACTGAAAGGCGAATATCAACAAGAGTGGCGAAAGGGGCAAGAAAGAGACTTGAGGGCCTCGGATACGAGACAACCAGGTTAAGGAGCTGGATTATTGAGGTTAAAAGGACTGACAATCCCGGGTCCAGGGGAGGGGAGGCTGGAAGTTGACTGGATTGAATCTGACTGATTGCTTTTGCTTTCTTATTTTTTAATATTGGGAATGTTTATAAATGTTTGAAGGATGTTGAATGAAACTATATGACTTAAGTAAGGATTGGTAAATGATTTGAAAAAAGGTAATGATGTAAGAATTTGCTAAATATTGAATATAAGCTTTGAGTTTTAAAGTTTTTATATGACAAGAGGGAAAATAGAATAAGGAAACGCAATGATAGATTGTTATGAAAAACAGAAAGGATTTGCTGTAAAAATTAAATACTAAGAAACAAGAGAGGGAAGGAGGAGCAACCCTAGAAAGGAAGTTAATGGAGATCGTAAAGGATTTTATATTTCTGTTTTTCTGTTTTTCTTTTTTTCTTTTTTGCGGCTGGGTTTTTCTTCTTTATTATTTCTGTATTATTTTTGTTTTATTTGTATTTTCAAACTTTTTTGGAAATTTTTGTTGTTACTTGTTACTTTTTGAAAATTTAATAAATATCAATTCAAAAAAAAATAAATAAAATAAAATTATATCCACAAGCTCCTTTAGTACCCTTGGGTGCAGCAAACCAGGCCCTGGATATTTGAATTCATTTTAAGTTAGCTAGGTGTTTCAATGTGTACCTTCCACAGCCACCTCAGTACTTTCTGAGGTCTGTAGCTATCCTTGCTCCTCTGACTCGTGAGCCCTTCCTCCAGAGAGTGGCTGCTGATTGCAAGTAGAGACTAAAAAAGTAATAGAGGTAGCCAATCTGATATGTAGCAGCACACATGAAAGGAGGAGAAACCAGTTTTCTCATCTCTTCAGTAACCCAGTGCCAGTTACCACGTTCAATTTTGTAGGAGTCAGTGGTGAATGGACCTTGGACCTTGCACCTATGGTGTATAAAGCCATATTGTTTTTAGTCTTGCCTAAGTTAAAACTGTGAATAGTGCTAAGTTTGTATAGACATTTTGCTTAGATATTTTGTATACTTCTCTTACCCAGCCAAAGGGGAACCTGTGGCCCTACGAATATTGGTGTACTACAGCTCCCATCATCCCTGACCATTGGCCATGCTGCCTGTGGCTGATGGAACTTGGAGTCTACCAAAAATATCTATAGGGCTACAGGCTCTCCATCCCAGCTCTTATCTAATGAACTGCTGTTGTCCCTAAGTACATTAGTATGGAGAGCCACTTAGCAAATTTCACTGATAAATAAAGTTGTAAATGAAATGATTGTTTTGTTGGCAGTACGGACTCTCCTGCTGAGATTGATTTAGTCTGTGAGATTGCCAAGCAGTCTGGAGCTTCTGATGCAGTGCCATGCAGTCACTGGTCATATGGGGGCAGAGGAGCTGTGGAATTGGCTCAGGCTGTAAGAAGAGCTGCCAATCAGCAGAATAGCTTCAGATATCTCTATGACCTGGAGGTAAGCAAAAGATCCAGCCAATTTCTTTGTGGTATGTGCATTTATTTCCACATAGTGGAAGTTGTAGCTGTTCAGTCTGAACCTTTAGGTGTACACATTACTCCTGTTGGGATCATATCTATGTTGGTGGTTTTTGTCAGAATTCTAATTCAAACATGTCCTGTTACAAGTGTTCTTACTCTGCACACTTTGAAAACTATTAGGTTCAAATATATATGATGGAATCCAAATTCTGTATGCCTTGTTTTGAATTGTGCTCTGTTTTAATGTCTAACTCAGGATCTGGCACACATGCAACCCTTTTAATTCATAAGGTAAAAAGGTAAGGTAAAGGACCCCTGGACAGTTAAGTCCGGTCAAAGGCAACTCGCTTCAGGCTGAGGGAGCCGGCGTTTGTCCACAGACAGCTTTCTAGGTCATGTGACCAGCATAACTAAACCACTTCTGGTGCAATGGAACACCATGACAGAAGCCAGAGCACATGGAAACGCCATATACCTTCCTGCTACAGCGGTACCTACTTATCTACTTGCACTGGTATGCTTTCGAACAGTTAGGTTGGTGGAAGCTGGAGCAGAGCAATGGGAGCTCACCCCATCATGCGGTTTTGAACTGCTGACCTTCTGATTGGCACACCCAAGAGGCTCAGTGGTTTAGACCACAGTGCCACCCCCATCCCATTTTAATTCATCTGCCCCTGCCTAATAGGATATTCCTTAGCTCAAATCTTTAATCTGTCTGGAAGCATCTGATGTTGCAGTATTTTGAAAGCAAGCTGTCAGGGGTGGGGGTGGAGAGGAGGAGAGCTGATGATTGCCTAGATAGGAGACTACTGGGAGCCAATCTTTGCTTTTTAAGGAGGAGTGGATATTTAAAATAATAATTAAGAAGTAAGTCCATGTTGAACATTTGTTTATTGTTGGATTTCTCCAGATTATTGCCCTTTAAAACAGTCAGGCTTAAATTTAATTCCATTTTATGCAGTTGCTTTCTGTTTCTTCTTCTTCTAAATCCCACCATTTTATACTAGTGATCATATAGCACTAGATTAACCAGTGCGTTGTCATCTGATGTAAGCAAGTTAATTAGCATCAAGATTAGTAATTAAATTTCTGGCATAGTTGGAATGTGGTGTGAAGAAACAACGGTGCCCTGATTTGAGAGCATGAGTGAGATGTGAAATACCTTACATCGTTTGTCAAGGGGCTGAAATACTAAGAAATAAGGTGAAGCTAAAGATATCCAAATAAATTGTGGGATTGGGAATTACACAAGGGATTTTTGCAAAAATGCAGACAGGCGGCAAGCGGCTTTAAGAAGACCACAGAGAAGTTTGCAATATTAACTATGTTTGTCTTCACACAAGAACCCATCTAAATGGTTTGACTCTGTGTTGTTTATTATTTCTTTCCCATTGTTAAAGAGAATTGCCCATGAAAGCCATCTGAATTCTGTATGAAGCAATCTGTATTTCACAGGATTTGGGTTTTTTTTAGTATCAGCTAGAATACAAATAGTGATCATCAACTTATCAGTGCTCCCATCTAAGAAGACTTCCTTCCAGTGTTTAGAACAAGGTTTTAAGTTGAAGCAGAAAGCTATTACTCAGCATAAGTGCATTCATTAGCAATAAGCCTAGATAATGAGGGTAGGGTGGATGTTGAATCCTATACATCCCTTTCCCAAACCTTCCAGGCTTCAGTAATTAAGTAATACAGGGGTGGGGAACTTAGGGGACTCAGGGGCCAAATGTGGCCCTCTAAGCCAGGCTTCCTCAACCTAGGCCCTCCAGATATTTTGAGACTACAATTCCCATCATCCCTGACCACTGGTTTTGCTAGCTAGGGATCATGGGAGTTGTAGGCCAAAAACATCTGGAGGGCTGAGGTTGAGGAAGCCTGCTCTAAGCTCTGGCCCTTGGGTCTGTTCTCCACACCACACTTTCTCCCCTCTGACACCCCTTTGTTGGTCCTTCTTGCCACCCTCCTTGAGTGTTGTTCCTGGCTGGAATGTGTCCTTGAACACTCCTCACTGGCCCTGCTTCACACCCTTCTAGAGCATTTTTGCTTAAATGCAAATGGGTCCTTGAACTGAGACAATGCCCCTTATTTGTCTGGATGGAGAAGGTGTGTGTAGCACCCAGTCAGCAGTAGAAAGGGGAAGTTTCCACTCCTTGTTCCACCTACTTTTGCCCATGGCCTTGCCCACTACCGCCATGTGGTCGCCCAGAAGGGAACACTGAAAAAGTTCCCCTACCTTTGTGCTACAAGATTGTAGCGTAAGGTTCCTATTGCTCACAACTTGCGGCCAGCCGAAATCCCATTTGGCTCTCAGAGATTTCTGCTGACTAGAGATTTTTTTGTCAGAACTACATATTTCTCCTCTTAAGAAATCAAAGTACAGAAAACATGACACAAGCCGTCTCTCACCACACCAACTTGGGTGAAGACAGACATAATTAAAAAGAGAGCCTGCAGCATGTCCCTCAGCAATGGAATGAGCCTAGCTTTTTCCTCACTTCACAATTTGATTGACAGAAATGCATACCAGTAAATCAAATGCTGGTTCCTCTGTGAGTCTTGCTCTGCCTTCACGCTTCAGGCAGGCACTTTGTTGTTTAAAGGCTGCATGTACATGTATATAGGAACATAGCTGCCTTATATGAAGTCAGACCATTGGTCTGTCTACCTCAGTATTGTCCTCATTGACAGGCTGTGGCTCTCCAAAACATTAGACAGGGAGCCTTTCCCAGTCCTGTTGAAGGTGCCAGACACTGAGCCTGGGACCTTCTGCATGCAAAGCAGATGCTCTACCATTGAGCTATGGCCCTTCTCCAAATGAGACAGCTTGTTTTTTGCTTTATTAATTTGATAGAAAAAAGTATAGAACAACTTGGACACCTGCCAATCAGAGTTGTGCAGAACCGAGTTCTACAAAGTTGCATAATTTCTCTTCCCCCCCCTTGAGAATGTTTATACAGTGGTGCCCCGCAAGACGAATGCCTCGCAAGACGGAAAACCCGCTAGACGAAAGGGTTTTCCGTTTTTGAGTTGCTTCGCAGGACGAATTTCCTTATGGGCTTGCTTCGCAAGACGAAAATGTCTTGCAAGTCTTGAGATTTTTTTTCGCTTTTCGCCCCCTTTATCTAATCTGCTAAGCCTTTAATAGCCTTTAATAGCCTTTTAGCAGCTAATCCGCTAAGCCTTTAAGCCTTTAATAGCCGCTAAACCACTAATAACGCTAATCCGTTAAGCCGCTAATAGGGTTGCTTCGCAAGACGAAAAAACCGCTAGACGAAGACCCTCGCGGAACGGATTAATTTCGTCTTGCGAGGCACCACTGTACTGAACACAGGGAGTCTGCTTCTAAACGTGGGTCTCTGCTTCAAAAATATTTCATCTCTTTTATTTATTTCAGTTGATTTAAATTTATATTATTTGAGTTGCTGGAACCTTCCCTAGGACTTTAGGATGAAAGGTGGACAAAAATAATAATAACCTAATACAGTCATACAGTGGTACCTCTGGTTACGTACTTAATTTGCTCCGGAGGTCCGTACTTAACTTGAAACTGCTCTTAACCTGAAGCACCACTTTAGCTAATGGGGCCTCCCGCTGCTGCCGCACCGCCAGAGCACGATTTCTGTTCTCATCCTGAAGCAAAGTTCTTAACCCGAGGTACTATTTCTGGGTTAGCAGAGTCTGTAACCTGAAGCGTATGTAACCCAAGGTACTACTGTACTTTGGATCTCAAACGCCTTGGATCCTGAACAAATTGGCTCCCGAACAATCGAAACCCGGAAGTGAGTGTTCCAGTTTTTGAATGATTTCATAGAATCATAGAATCATAGAGTTGGAAGAGACCACAAGGGCTATCAAGTCCAACCCCCTGCCAAGCAGGAAACACCATCAGAGCACTCCTGACATATGGTTGTCACGCCTCTGCTTAAAGACCTCCAAAGAAGGAGACTCCACCACACTCCTTGGCAGCAAATTCCACTGTCGAACAGCTCTTACTGTCAGGAAGTTCTTCCTAATGTTTAGGTGGAATCTTCTTTCTTGTAGTTTGGATCCATTGCTCCGTGTCCACTTCTCTGGAGCAGCAGAAAACAACCTTTCTCCCTCCTCTATGTGACATCCTTTTATATATTTGAACATGGCTATCATATCACCCCTTAACCTCCTCTTCTCCAGGCTAAACATGCCCAGCTCCCTTAGCCATTCCTCATAAGGCATCGTTTCCAGGCCTTTGACCATTTTGGTTGCCCTCCTCTGGACACGTTCCAGTTTGTCAGTGTCCTTCTTGAACTGTGGTGCCCAGAACTGGACACAGTACTCCAGCTGAGGTCTGACCAGAGCAGAATACAGTGGCACTATTACTTCCCTTGATCTAGATGCTATACTCCTATTGATGCAGCCCAGAATTGCATTGGCTTTTTAGCTGCCGCGTCACACTGTTGGCTCATGTCAAGTTTGTGGTCAACCAAGACTCCTAGATCCTTTTCACATGTACTGCTCTCAAGCCAGGTGTCACCCATCTTGTATTTGTGCCTCTCATTTTTTTGCCCAAGTGCAATACTTTACATTTCTCCTGTTAAAATTCATCTTGTTTGTTTTTGCCCAGTTCTCTAATCTGTCAAGGTCGTTTTGAAGTGTGATCCTGTCCTCTGGGGTGTTAGCCACCCTCCCAGTTTGGTGTCATCTGCAAATTTGATCAGGATGCCCTTGAGTCCATCATCCAAGTCGTTGATAAAGATGTTGAATAAGACCGGGCCCAAGACAGAACCCTGTGGCATCCCACTAGTCACTCTTCTCCAGGATGAAGAGGAACCATTGATGAGCACCCTTTGGGTTCGGTCAGTCAGCCAGTTACAAATCCACTGAGTGGTAGCATAGTCAAGACCGCATTTTACCAGCTTCTTTACAAGAATATCATGGGGCACCTTATCAAATGCCTTGCTGAAATCAAGGTAGGCTACATCCACTGCGTTCCCTTCATCTACCAGGCTTGTAATTCTGTCAAAAAACAAGATCAGGTTAGTCTGACATGACTTATTTTTCAGAAATCCATGCTGACTATTGGTGATCACAGCATTCCTTTCTAGGTGCTCACAGACTGTTTGCTTAATGATCTGCTCCAGAATCTTCCCTGGTATTGATGTCAGACTGACTGGGCGGTAATTATTTGGGTCCTCTCTTTTCCCCTTTTTGAAAATAGGGACAACATTTGCCCTCCTCCAGTCTGCCGGGACTTCGCCTGTTCTCCAGGAATTCTCAAAGATGACTGCCAGTGGTTCTGAGATCACATCTGCCAGTTCTTTTTCGGTAGCCAAACATTCAGCATGGTTTCCGCAGCCTCTGATTGGCTGCAGGACGCGCCTTCAGCCAATCGAAAGCTGCGCCTTGGTTTTCGAACAGTTCCGGGAGTCGAATGGACTCCCGGAAAGCATTCTGTTCAAGAACCAAGGTACAACTCTAGTAACGACACTGAAGCAGTTTCAAATACAGTACAGATGTAGGGTTTGTAGATCAAGAGCCAAACCCTGATGGACATAAGGATTTCTGACAACCCTGAAATCACTGGGTTGAATGATTTAAACTGCTTTTAGAATGCTTTTTTAAATGCTTGTTATTATTATTATTCATGAACCACTTTGCTAATGGAAACGATTCAAGTAGTTTTCCAGACACACTGGAAATACTAAAACCATTTAAATTAAGCACAATCAATAAAAAACAAAAAACACACATCTATACAAATAAAAAAGAGTGGTTTTGTAGATGCTGGCCCACTATATGTGGCCACAAATACTTAAAACCCTTCAAACTGAGGGCCAAAAGCCTGTGGGAAACTGGAAAGTTTTTGCCTGGCCGTATTAGTGATATGGCCTCATCCAAGAGAAAGGGTAAGATATAAATTTCATCAATAATCAATAATGGTGTTGTAGATTTGGGAGGAGGACCCCCTTAAAACCTAGAAATTAATAAATGCTAGGATTTTGATCAGGTTTAAGGTGCTGGTTTTGACCTTTAAAGCCCTATGTGGCGTAGGACCCATGTACCTACAGGACTGCCTCTCTTGGTATGCCCCGCGGAGGACCTTAAGGTCCACAAATAACAACACTTTGGAGGTCCCGAGCCTCAAGGAGGTTAGATTGGTTTCAGCTAGGGCCAGGGCCTTTTCAGCACTGGCCCCGACATGGTGGAACGCTCTGTCACAAGAGACTAGGGCCCTGCGGGACTTGACATCTTTCCGCAGGGCCTGCAAGACAGAGCTGTTCCACCTGGCCTTTGGTTTGCACTCAGTCTGACACTTATGTTTCCCTCCCCTTATGGTCTTGATTTATCAGCTATTTTAAGATGAGGCTGCATTTTAGATTGCATTTTAACCTGTATTTTAAATGGGATTTCCACCCCCCTCTTTTTCCCCTATTATGTTTTTACTGTGATTTTATTGGTGTTGGCCGCCCTGAGCCCGGCTCTGGCCGGGGAGAGCAGGGTATAAATAAAAGTTGTTGTTGTTCTTATTTGGGATATGACGGGAGCATACAAACTGCAGAGGAATTCATGGGCTAACCTATGCAAAACGGAGTGGCCAAGCTAGGGCCATTAAGAAACAACCATCTGTTTTATTTATTTATTTATAGACATTTATAGCCCATCCTTCACCACGTGGTCCGAGGACTGAATTCTCCTTCCTCTTGCATTGGCTTTGGTACTTGTATTAAGCCATAGTCCCCTGTGACATCCATACCAGGGAATTCTGGCTTGATCTCAGTTAACTAATCAGGATATTAAGTCAGCATCTGACATTGCTGGAATTATAGTTATGTGTTTGGCTGTGACCCAAGGATGTTATTTTATGCTTGTGCACTGAGGTTTTGGTCCTTATAGAGCAGGGATAGCCAACGTGGTGCTTCCAAATGTTATTGGACTACAACACCTATCACTCCTTGCTATTGGCCTTGCTGGTGGGGGCTGATGGGAGATGTAATCCAACGTCTGGAGGGCACAACATTGGCTACCCCGTTACAGAGGTTGCTCATGGATAGTCACAGTGGGGAGACAAATAAAGCTTCTTTGCTCCTTCAAATCATATTAATTTGAAGTGTAGGCCACCCTGCTTCTTCCCCCCCTCCAAGGAATCACATCTGTCAGCATGGCACTTGAAAGCATTCATAAATACAGTGAAGTGTACAATACCCCCTAATGTGCGTTTCTTTCAAACAAAATCTGGATGTGCTTTTTGCCTGATCTTTTTTTTTTTTAAGTGATGAGTTTGAAAGCTAGCTTTGTCCCTTTCTTATTCACACACTCCGCCCATCCCACGTGACAGCATGGCACTTTTAATATTTGTTTTTATTAAATATTTTCCGTTCCTTTCATGTTCTCAAACATGGGGCGGGAAGTGGCTCCATGTTGGGAAGATGAAAACAAATCTCGTATGGCCACAGATGGAGGTGTAGATTCGCATAACAGTTTCAACTTTTAAGTGAACATTTTCTTCCATACATTAGGCCGCCAATTCTGTCCTACAGCAATCTAGCTAAGGAGGGTGCTTTGAGTTTAGGAATTGCCCTCTGTCATCCACTGAACTTGTGGAATCAAAAGAGAAGGCTGAAATTACAAACAGATTTAGGAAAGGGTAATGGGAACGGAACAAGAAAAAGTAATGAAAGATGAAATGTGCAGAGTCAGCTGCTATTTTAGCACCAAGCCATATTCATCCAAAGCACCTTGAACTATGCATTTTGTCTTGGCTGTGTTCCTCACAATAGATTTGAGGAAGATATAGATGGCTTCATTTAGCTGGGGCTTGGTTATTTAT